TACAAACCAAACTATAGAAAGTTAATCTGATGCTCGCTAGTGACTTGCTACAGGTTGGAGTTTCCTGAGTTCTAGTGAGAAGTCGTGACCAGTGAGGTCCAATTAGATGTCACGTGTGTGGATGGATGTCCCACCAACGACAATGGTTGGGGTCGTGCTAAATCACGAATTAGTAGAAGTTAGAATTCACGAGCCATTGAATCGGGTCCCAGTGGCTGAATGGTATACGAGCTTGCCTTGTAACCGGAAGGTCCTGGGTTCGAAACCCAGTGGGTGCGTACTGCCGATGATTCCCAAACTAGGATGAAACAGCAGCTGTCCAGTACTCCCTGGTTTTCAATGGTTCTCTAACTGATATCAATCCGTGATCAACTCGTAAAACATAACTAATCCTTACAAACCAAACTATAGAAAGTTAATCTGATGCTCGCTAGTGACTTGCTACAGGTTGGAGTTTCCTGAGTTCTAGTGAGAAGTCGTGACCAGTGAGGTCCAATTAGATGTCACGTGTGTGGATGGATGTCCCACCAACGACAATGGTTGGGGTCGTGCTAAATCACGAATTAGTAGAAGTTAGAATTCACGAGCCATTGAATCGGGTCCCAGTGGCTGAATGGTATACGAGCTTGCCTTGTAACCGGAAGGTCCTGGGTTCGAAACCCAGTGGGTGCGTACTGCCGATGATTCCCAAACTAGGATGAAACAGCAGCTGTCCAGTACTCCCTGGTTTTCAATGGTTCTCTAACTGATATCAATCCGTGATCAACTCGTAAAACATAACTAATCCTTACAAACCAAACTATAGAAAGTTAATCTGATGCTCGCTAGTGACTTGCTACAGGTTGGAGTTTCCTGAGTTCTAGTGAGAAGTCGTGACCAGTGAGGTCCAATTAGATGTCACGTGTGTGGATGGATGTCCCACCAACGACAATGGTTGGGGTCGTGCTAAATCACGAATTAGTAGAAGTTAGAATTCACGAGCCATTGAATCGGGTCCCAGTGGCTGAATGGTATACGAGCTTGCCTTGTAACCGGAAGGTCCTGGGTTCGAAACCCAGTGGGTGCGTACTGCCGATGATTCCCAAACTAGGATGAAACAGCAGCTGTCCAGTACTCCCTGGTTTTCAATGGTTCTCTAACTGATATCAATCCGTGATCAACTCGTAAAACATAACTAATCCTTACAAACCAAACTATAGAAAGTTAATCTGATGCTCGCTAGTGACTTGCTACAGGTTGGAGTTTCCTGAGTTCTAGTGAGAAGTCGTGACCAGTGAGGTCCAATTAGATGTCACGTGTGTGGATGGATGTCCCACCAACGACAATGGTTGGGGTCGTGCTAAATCACGAATTAGTAGAAGTTAGAATTCACGAGCCATTGAATCGGGTCCCAGTGGCTGAATGGTATACGAGCTTGCCTTGTAACCGGAAGGTCCTGGGTTCGAAACCCAGTGGGTGCGTACTGCCGATGATTCCCAAACTAGGATGAAACAGCAGCTGTCCAGTACTCCCTGGTTTTCAATGGTTCTCTAACTGATATCAATCCGTGATCAACTCGTAAAACATAACTAATCCTTACAAACCAAACTATAGAAAGTTAATCTGATGCTCGCTAGTGACTTGCTACAGGTTGGAGTTTCCTGAGTTCTAGTGAGAAGTCGTGACCAGTGAGGTCCAATTAGATGTCACGTGTGTGGATGGATGTCCCACCAACGACAATGGTTGGGGTCGTGCTAAATCACGAATTAGTAGAAGTTAGAATTCACGAGCCATTGAATCGGGTCCCAGTGGCTGAATGGTATACGAGCTTGCCTTGTAACCGGAAGGTCCTGGGTTCGAAACCCAGTGGGTGCGTACTGCCGATGATTCCCAAACTAGGATGAAACAGCAGCTGTCCAGTACTCCCTGGTTTTCAATGGTTCTCTAACTGATATCAATCCGTGATCAACTCGTAAAACATAACTAATCCTTACAAACCAAACTATAGAAAGTTAATCTGATGCTCGCTAGTGACTTGCTACAGGTTGGAGTTTCCTGAGTTCTAGTGAGAAGTCGTGACCAGTGAGGTCCAATTAGATGTCACGTGTGTGGATGGATGTCCCACCAACGACAATGGTTGGGGTCGTGCTAAATCACGAATTAGTAGAAGTTAGAATTCACGAGCCATTGAATCGGGTCCCAGTGGCTGAATGGTATACGAGCTTGCCTTGTAACCGGAAGGTCCTGGGTTCGAAACCCAGTGGGTGCGTACTGCCGATGATTCCCAAACTAGGATGAAACAGCAGCTGTCCAGTACTCCCTGGTTTTCAATGGTTCTCTAACTGATATCAATCCGTGATCAACTCGTAAAACATAACTAATCCTTACAAACCAAACTATAGAAAGTTAATCTGATGCTCGCTAGTGACTTGCTACAGGTTGGAGTTTCCTGAGTTCTAGTGAGAAGTCGTGACCAGTGAGGTCCAATTAGATGTCACGTGTGTGGATGGATGTCCCACCAACGACAATGGTTGGGGTCGTGCTAAATCACGAATTAGTAGAAGTTAGAATTCACGAGCCATTGAATCGGGTCCCAGTGGCTGAATGGTATACGAGCTTGCCTTGTAACCGGAAGGTCCTGGGTTCGAAACCCAGTGGGTGCGTACTGCCGATGATTCCCAAACTAGGATGAAACAGCAGCTGTCCAGTACTCCCTGGTTTTCAATGGTTCTCTAACTGATATCAATCCGTGATCAACTCGTAAAACATAACTAATCCTTACAAACCAAACTATAGAAAGTTAATCTGATGCTCGCTAGTGATTTGCTACAGGTTGGAGTTTCCTGAGTTCTAGTGAGAAGTCGTGACCAGTGAGGTCCAATTAGATGTCACGTGTGTGGATGGATGTCCCACCAACGACAATGGTTGGGGTCGTGCTAAATCACGAATTAGTAGAAGTTAGAATTCACGAGCCATTGAATCGGGTCCCAGTGGCTGAATGGTATACGAGCTTGCCTTGTAACCGGAAGGTCCTGGGTTCGAAACCCAGTGGGTGCGTACTGCCGATGATTCCCAAACTAGGATGAAACAGCAGCTGTCCAGTACTCCCTGGTTTTCAATGGTTCTCTAACTGATATCAATCCGTGATCAACTCGTAAAACATAACTAATCCTTACAAACCAAACTATAGAAAGTTAATCTGATGCTCGCTAGTGACTTGCTACAGGTTGGAGTTTCCTGAGTTCTAGTGAGAAGTCGTGACCAGTGAGGTCCAATTAGATGTCACGTGTGTGGATGGATGTCCCACCAACGACAATGGTTGGGGTCGTGCTAAATCACGAATTAGTAGAAGTTAGAATTCACGAGCCATTGAATCGGGTCCCAGTGGCTGAATGGTATACGAGCTTGCCTTGTAACCGGAAGGTCCTGGGTTCGAAACCCAGTGGGTGCGTACTGCCGATGATTCCCAAACTAGGATGAAACAGCAGCTGTCCAGTACTCCCTGGTTTTCAATGGTTCTCTAACTGATATCAATCCGTGATCAACTCGTAAAACATAACTAATCCTTACAAACCAAACTATAGAAAGTTAATCTGATGCTCGCTAGTGACTTGCTACAGGTTGGAGTTTCCTGAGTTCTAGTGAGAAGTCGTGACCAGTGAGGTCCAATTAGATGTCACGTGTGTGGATGGATGTCCCACCAACGACAATGGTTGGGGTCGTGCTAAATCACGAATTAGTAGAAGTTAGAATTCACGAGCCATTGAATCGGGTCCCAGTGGCTGAATGGTATACGAGCTTGCCTTGTAACCGGAAGGTCCTGGGTTCGAAACCCAGTGGGTGCGTACTGCCGATGATTCCCAAACTAGGATGAAACAGCAGCTGTCCAGTACTCCCTGGTTTTCAATGGTTCTCTAACTGATATCAATCCGTGATCAACTCGTAAAACATAACTAATCCTTACAAACCAAACTATAGAAAGTTAATCTGATGCTCGCTAGTGACTTGCTACAGGTTGGAGTTTCCTGAGTTCTAGTGAGAAGTCGTGACCAGTGAGGTCCAATTAGATGTCACGTGTGTGGATGGATGTCCCACCAACGACAATGGTTGGGGTCGTGCTAAATCACGAATTAGTAGAAGTTAGAATTCACGAGCCATTGAATCGGGTCCCAGTGGCTGAATGGTATACGAGCTTGCCTTGTAACCGGAAGGTCCTGGGTTCGAAACCCAGTGGGTGCGTACTGCCGATGATTCCCAAACTAGGATGAAACAGCAGCTGTCCAGTACTCCCTGGTTTTCAATGGTTCTCTAACTGATATCAATCCGTGATCAACTCGTAAAACATAACTAATCCTTACAAACCAAACTATAGAAATATCAATATTTTGTTATCATTATAATCACCGTTATTAATTTCGTTCAGAACATTTACCACATTATTACTATTATCATTTGATCAGCAAAATCGCCGTCATTGGTTAAAATTTTTATATATAAATCTATGTAAATTAGAGTAAAGCCTGAAGAAGATCAAATTGAAAACAGTAATGTTCGCTTATATCTCCTGTTCTTAAAATTGTAATACTTATATTCCGGATGCGTTCATCTTATAATCTTTTCACTATTACCTTTCAAACATTGAAGTATGAGATGTAATTATTTATTTATAACCATTTTAATTTCAGGTAGTTTGCAGTTAGCTGATGAGAACCTGTGAAATAGAATGATGGCATCATTTTATACTGCGAATCTGGTCCTTCGTTTTCTATCGAAAATCATTATTTTATTACACAGCAAATGTGTGCATCGGTGGTACAGCAGTTAAGATGCTCGTAGACCATGCACATGGTCCGGGGCTCGATCCCCAGCCGACGCACACCTGATATCAATCAATAGCTGGCCTGCTAAATTTTAAGCCACCGATATCACATGCTGAAAATTCCCTACTTACACCAAAAGAATGTGTAATCAAGCTATAAATAAAACAAATAGTAACGAAGAATACGATTAAATCAACTTACTCGCCTGGCCATCAGATATAACATCCGTAGAACCCTTATGGACAATAGTTACACCAAGTTTATTAGCAAGATATTTTGTTGCGTCATTAATGCTATTTGGCCTGGATGCAAACTGTACACATAGTACACATGGCATAACAAGGTATATTATTACTAAGTGTAAAAAATTACCACAGAATAGTATAATCTCGAAAATTCAATAGTATTTGGTGTTAGAATAGTTTTATTATAACCTTGGATAAGTGATGGATTCTGGTTTATAATGTATAAAGCATCCGCATCAATAACAATAGGCTTATTAGCTGATTTACAGTAATCTATTAACTAGACAAAAAAGAAAACAAAAGATTAGTTTAGAAGTCGAAAAGGAAAAGATTAGTCACCTTGATAGTATTCTCAATGTTCTCTGTTAAACCAAGACCTGGTCCAAACGTTACTGCATGCACTTTATCCATACATTTTGTTGCTTCAGTTAAATTTGTATCTCTAGAACAAAAGTTTTTTTATTTTTGTGGCTATAACTGGATGTGTTAAAAGTATTTTTTACAGAACAGGATGAACAATCAAATCAGGACTATATGATTTGATAACTGAGGCTGATGCAGCAGAACAGACAACGTGAACTAAATCAGCACCCTATATGTGTATACATATATTACTAATTATATTACTTATTAAAAAACTACTTACACAATGAAGAGCACTGATAGCAGAGAAATAAGGCGCTCCAGTATATCTGTTCTCAAAAGTTAAGAAGAATAAAGAATGTGTGAACTGACTCTTTTGATCCACCGACAATGGCGATTCGCCCCATCTGACCTTTATGAAGATCGTCTGTCAGTTGAGGAATCGCATCGACTATTTTGTCAATCATAATAGCTTTTTTGTTGGTATATTTAACCACTGTTCGAGAAGTGAATGTGTCTGAAATAAAGTTACGAAAAGCACGATAAATACCATGTGTTCGGAGTTTAGATAGGATAAAAAGCTTCACATGAAGGTGTACTGGTTCGGTTTGGCACATTATTTAACAACATTCAAATAATACTTTGATGGACACCAAGAGTTTTAGGAAGGATTTCTAAACTATTTATTTAAAATTCAAACTTGACACAACATAGACAGATAGAAAATGATATCACCAACTGATTCAGAGAATTGACGGATTCAGTAAGGAGGCGATTACTCAGAAAAACTCAGTTTTTTCCTATCACTTTCGTCAAAGAAATGGTAATCAGATTTGCGGCATCAAATGCGAGCATCTGACTTCGAAGCTCCTCTTTCCCTCTAAACTGTATGCAACTGAAGAAAAGCCTATATTTTGTTCTCCTTTCTAAGACGAGGAAAATAAAATGTTATTTTCGACCAAATATAATGATCAAGTATACATTTTCGTGAAACTAGAATAGATCGATGTTAACTAGGTTGTACAACTTTGTAGCAAATGGATTAAGAAAGCCGAGAAACTAGTTTTGACTCTTATATGCTTGATAACGAGCTATCTAGATTTTCCGCTACCTGAAAGTATTTCCGGTAAATAGAACGACGTGATAGTCGCTAAAATGAAGTTTGTAACATATATATTCAAGTTAGATATCCCCTACAAACTCCAAAGGCTTTACAGGTGTACGCTAAATGGGACGGATAGAACTTCGTGAACCTAACTATCAAAAACTACCCGGTATCCGAAGTAGAGTAAGCCTTTTTGATCATTAAGATATGACTATACATCCAACGCACCTTCATCAGGATATATGATTCACCCAGAAATGTTAGTGAGGACAGAAAACTGTGTCCTGGGCTTTGGTGATGCAAAGCATATACCGACCGAAAGCTGCTACCTTGACGTGGTGGTCGGCCTTGAAAACCGCAATGACCTAATCAAGCTATACTGGCTGAGACTTATGTCTCTTGAGTTTCTCTCATGCCAGGCAGGTTGTTTGGATAGCGGTTAAACAAAAAGCAGCTACCCCATCCAATACCACGATTCAAACAAATTCACAAAATTTCATGCCGGATCGGCCGTGGCCCGGATTAACAACGACCGCGCTTCCTGCTGTCGTGTCACAGGGCAGGAGTGATAAAAATGCTACAGAGGCACACTAAACAAAAGAGAACGAACAAAAACAGGCCGCATGTGACCGGCCCTAAGCAGTTGTCCCCTGGGCTCTGCGGTCACGCAACCAACTTCCACGGTGTGGGCAGCCGCGAAGTAACAATCGCCCTCACAATTCGAAACGCACGCGAAACCTCTCTATTACTCACTCATCTTTGTTTTCATCTTCATCTCTATCATCTTGCCTTCCTTCCACTGATGCAACTCCTCGACTTGATAGCTCTCCACTCTGCATCCACTAAAAACGATGGAAGCCAAAAAACCACCACCGACAGCCTCTTAAAGCCACGCCACCAATTTCATATAGGAGCTCTTAATGTTAGGACACTTTGCCAAATAGGACAACAAGCATCACTAGCTAAGACCCTGGCATCCCGAGCCATTGATGTATGTTGTGTTTCAGAAACACGCATACAAGACCCAAGTGTGGTTATTCACCTAACCCCACCTGGCCAACAGGATGAATCTTCAAAATTCACCTTGAGGGTGTCAGGAGATGCCACAGCTAGTTCACGAGGATTAGCTGGCGTAGGGATAGCTTTGAGTACTAGGGCAGAAAAGACATTACTTGACTGGATCCCAGTAGATAGCCGAATGTGTGCTGTCCGTCTGAACGGATCAGTAAGAAGGAGAAAGGACTGCACTACTCGCCGATGCCTTTTCGTAATCTCCGCCTACGCCCCCACTGACTGCAGTTCGGATGAAACGAAGGATGAGTTCTACCAAAAGCTGTCTAGTTTGGTGAGAAAGGCTAAACGCTCAGATATAGTCGTTCTAGCTGGTGACTTTAAAGCTCAAGTAGGGAAATTGTGTCAATCTGAGAAGGATGTCGGTGGCACCTATGGAGTTCCGTGCCAGCGAACCGACAACGGTGACCGTCTCCTACAGTTCTGTTCAGATAATCATTTGTTTCTTGTAAGCACTAACTTTAAACACAAGGAGAGACACTGTTTAACCTGGCGACCCCCATCATCAAACCAACGCTGGACACAAATAGACCACATAGCAATAAGCTATCGTTGGCGTGGGTCGGTAGGAGATTGTCGCTCCTTCTGGAACACGTGTGTAGATACCGATCACGCACTGGTCCGGGCTCGTGTGTGCTTACGACTGAACGGACGTAGGAAACAGCTGGCGGTAAAACCATCACGTCCCCAGCTCGATCAGGAAACTAAATCCCTATTTGAGGAAGAACTAGCTAAACGCATATCTGAGTTCGACAGCTGTGCTCACCCTGGAGAAGCCTGGAAGAATATTCAGTCAGCTATAGATACAGCTGTAAAAGCTGTGAATAAGGCAAATCCAAAGGTGAGTAAAAACCACTGGATTTCGACTGCCTCATCCGAACTGATAGATGCTAGAAGACTTATTCCGGCGAGCTCCGAATTCAATGAGGAGCGAAAGCTGCACAAAAGGAAACTTACTAAAAGTCTCCGCAAGGACCGTGAACAGTGGTGGCTGACAAAGGCAAAAGAGATGGAAAAAGCATCGGCGATAGGCAACACTAGGCAACTCTTTAGACTCATCAGGGAAACGGGTGGGAGAAGGCAAATCATAAGTGAGACTATTTCTGAGAAAAATGGCTCCTTAATTAGCTCTCAGGATAGACGCCTTGAACGCTGGAAAGAACACTTTGAGGACAATTTAACTTGCCTACAGCCACACTGAACCTCCCCGACATCCACCACACACCCGAATGGGATATAGACACTGGTCCGCCGTCTGTAAGTGAGGTCACAAAAGCTATCAGTAATTTGAAACGAGGCAAAGCGGCAGGACCCGACGGAATTATTCCGGAGGTGTTTAAATATGGGGGTGACATACTAGTTTGTAGATTAACTGAGGTACTAGGCAAAGTCTGGGAATCAGAGACAGTTCCATCAGACTGGGGTAAGTCACTTATTATACCGATATTCAAGAAGGGAAACAAGTCCTCGTGTGATAATCATAGGGGGATCAGCCTAACGAACATAGTCTCTAAAATCCTAGGCTCAGTAATCATGCATAGACTAAGCAGAACTCGGGAGGAACAGACAAGGGAAAATCAAGCAGGCTTTAGACCAGGTAGAGGGTGCATAGATCATATCTTCACTCTTCGACAGATTCTAGAACATAGACACACTTTTCGGCGTCCAACAATTGTCATATTTCTTGACTTGAAGGCGGCCTTCGACTCCGTGGATCGAAAGGTACTATGGCAATGTCTGACTGTGAAGGGAGTGCCAAGAAAGTACATTGCACTAATCAAGGCACTCTATTCAAACTCACGTAGTCGTGTAAGGGCTTATGGGGAATTGTCATCTGAATTGGTAACAACCAGTGGTGTCCGACAGGGATGTCCACTTTCCCCATTTCTGTTTAACTTCATCATAGATATGCTGATGGAAGTATCCTTAACTGAACGTAATGACTTAGGAATCGACTTGTTACCAGGGAATAGTCTTATGGACTTAGAATATGCAGATGACATAGTCCTGTTAGGGGAGGATGCTGACAAAATGCAGAGTCTTCTGAACACCTTGAGCAGCAATCTTCGTATGTTTGGCATGCGATTCGCCCCTACAAAATGTAAGATGCTGCTACAGGACTGGACCACGTCAACTCCTAACTTAGTGATAGGGAGTGAAGTGATAGAACATGTTGACCACTTCACCTATTTGGGAAGTTGTATTAGCACCAACGGACTGATTGGCGATGAAATCTCAGCACGGATCCGAAAAGCTCGAGCTGCTTTCGCTGACTTACACCATCTCTGGCGTAGGCGTGACATCCGGTTATCAACCAAGGGACGTGTGTACTGCTCATCAGTTCGCTCCGTCCTTCTCTATGGCTCTGAAACATGGCCAATACGCGTTGAAGACATGAAAAGGTTGACTGCTTTCGATCATAGATGTCTGCGATCTCTGTCTCACGTTAGGTGGTTTAATAAGGTAAGTAATGTTGACGTTAGGCGTAGAGTGTTGGGCAAAGAGGGAAAATCAATCGACGAGGCTATAAAGTTACATAGACTAAGATGGCTAGGTCACGTGCTGCGCATGCCTAACCACCGCCTCCCCCGACGGGCATTACTAGCTGATATAGGTGCAGGTTGGAAAAGAGTAAGTGGTGGCCAAACAAAAACATGGCATCAATCCATGAAATCCTTGACAGTTAAACTGAGTCAGGTAGGGAGATGCAGACTCCCGGGTTGGGGCCCTCGGGACTCTAGGAATCAATGGCTGGAGACAATAGGTGACATGGCTCAAAATCGTTGTCAATGGCCAGGCAGATGTATTCAGTCTCTGTAATCTTTCATATTCCTTTCTACCATTACCCATTCTGTTTCACTCTTATACTTGTCAGACTGTATTGATTCTCTTCACTCATCTTCTTGTCTACCTCTGTGTGGTATTTGGAACGTGGCAACTCGAAGTGTTGCACTTCGGTGCCAAGTTCTATGTTGAATCCAGACAGACAGAGACAGAAAGCATATACCATACCAGAGAGTGGTCACCAGAAGGATAACCGCATACTGAAAATGTTTATAGGCGGGTAACAAGATATTACGTTAGTACCTGAATATTACTGAGAAGAAATTCAATTGAAAAGCTAGTTATTTGTAAAACCATTTGTACGGAAAAATAAAATCTTACGACTAGCAAGCATACAAAACTGAAACGATGGTTAATCGATTGAATTACAGATTGTTTGTACGCTTGTACGAGTAAAACGTTGAAACTTAGAATATTTGTTAATACCCGAGCAACCAATGCTAAATTAGGGGCAAGTTAAACTTTAAGCACCACTAACAACCGATGGAGTGCGACGCACCAATGACCTTAAAGTTTAATTTTGCCCTATTTAGCTTTCCAGGCATGAATTTTTATGCTTGCGCTACCTTCACTAACTTTACTCTACTGGCTAAGAACTGTAGTCGGTTGTATCAGGGCACGTTACGATTGTTACCATTCTTTTAATACATGTCTTTAAAGCTAATAACATATACAAGTTATTACTTTGGTTCATCTGGCGAAAAAATGTACTGATCTTTAATCTTTCATTGCGCTGATTTCTCCTACCAGTGATTTTGACCAGGAAATACAAGGGTTCATTTTGAAAAACTTTCGTTGACATGGAGTGGTACAAATCCTGGGATATATTCTGGGCAATATTGAATTATAACGACACAAAACAACAACTAGAAAATGACCCTAGACAACAAATTAGGTTAGCCTCATAGTGATAAGACATTAGTGAATAGAAATAGACAAAATTGGGTAACAAATAATTATGTAAGATGACAGTCTCTTACATTTTCTAGAAATGTCTCTCGATTTATCAATGCAGAACATAATGTTTTCCAAACCTATTTCTGTGAATTAAAAAATGCATGACCGTTCTCCATTTCATTTCGTAACTGATATATCTCCTAAACAGAGTTCCATAAATGACCCCAGAAACTTGTAAACACATAGAACAGTGGCTTCTATGCACCTCTACAAAACCGTCATCCCTATAGATTAGCACATTTTAGTGCTTCGTAGGAGCACACCAACAAAACTGTATTAAATACAAGGTTCAGATAAAACTTGCAATGCAACTTGCTGACCTATAGGTACTACTTCAGAAACAAAAGACTTAATTCAGAGAATATATGCGCTAATATAGTGGCAATTTTTTCAGCGTTATTTCAGCACATAATGGGCCCATTTAAGGTAGATAAAGTATTCATATGCGATAAACAGG